TCTTGGCATGTTTCTTCAGAGCAGATTTGCCATTGCCTTCCTCTGAGGCTGGGAGAGTGTGACTGACCCAAGGTCATCCAGTGGGTTTTCATGGCCAAGCTGGGATTGAAACCCTGGTCTCCAGAGTCATAGCCCAATCCTCAAACCACAACACCATGCTGGCTCCTTTCTGAGATGCATATATTTTAAAATAAAACATCTTGTTCTGTACAGGATGGTAAGATTTTCATTTGGCCTGGGAGCAGAGAATTTTGATCTTGATTAAATACTCAATGCCACCATTAGTGTGTTAGTCTTTAAGGTACAGTGGGGGCTCTGTGGTTATTGTTTTGCTGTTACATACTAATGGCTGCATTTTTAAAACTTGTTATTCAGTAACATTGATTCAAATGAGTGTGTCTCTTAAGGCTACAGTGAAGAGTGGGTGAGACATGCTATAGCAGAGTGATCATGGACAAAAGATAATGTGGGACCTACTGGTAGAACTCTGGTTGATCTGCAGTAGACTGATAAGAATTTCTGGCTTTCAACTATTTAACAGCAGCAGTAACAAAATGACTTTTCACAGTCACTTTATATTACACTGCTGGAAAGAGGAAGGCTTGGGAATAACTAGAACTGCACACTGTTCAGTTCTGGTATGCAGAATAAATGTCTGGACCCAGAATTCTTTGATTCCAAATGCATCGCTTTTACACCAGGTTCAAGTTCATAGATTTCATCATTCTGGAACACATACAAAGTGCATCTTGCAAGTCTGCCCTCCCCATTAAATTCTCCTTCAGTTTCCAAATTTCTAGCATTGCAGGGAGGCAGATATTGAATATTATCCATACCTAGAACTCCTACATTTGTTGTGTTCACATTCTCTTGCTAACTTGGCTTCCCCCTTGTCTTTTGATGCCTAAACTGTATTCCTAAATGCTCAACTGAACATTTAAGTGATTGCAGTGCTACAGGTTTGGGGACTGAAATAAAAGTTCATGGGGGATAGAATCGTATCTTGGCCGGGGGCATGCTCTCTCCCCCATGTAGCTGCACCTCTGCCACATTGTAGTCTATTACTTAACCTGCAGTAGAGCTAAGGTTTTGCAACCCTAAGAGTGCATATCTACTCAGAATTAAGTTTGAGGACCTTTGCAGATTGCTAGAAATAGTGCAAGTTGAGTCCACTTTAAATGCCCTGGCTCAGTGCTAGGGAATCATGGGAATTGTATTTTTTTCTGAGGCACTGAGCCTTCTCTGTCAGAGAGCTCTGGTGCCACAATAAACTACAGTTCCCATGAACTTTATTTCAAATGTGCATATTGTTGGTTTTGAATTAAAAGTTTGGTAAAATATGTTGAACTGCTCTCTTTTTTTTCTTGTTGTGTAGAACTTATCCCTATTCTTTCCATGTTATTTTTGTTTCTGGTATCCAATTTTCTGTTAAAGAAGTAATGCTCAGGAACAAATTTACTTTGTTAACAGAGGTATAACTGCACTTTAATTATTCATCCTTGGAAACAAGAATGAAATAGTCAAATACTTCCATCCCTACATCCTATTTACCCTGCAGCTTTTGAGGTTTTTGCATTTTCTGCCTGCCTTCCATCCTCAAAACAATTGAGATTGTCAAGATGCTCACACCAGTGCCTGGTGCCATTTTTGCTACCTGTACTTGTACTTGTGAACTCTATTCAGTCCTGAGAGTGGTCTTCTCCTCTAAACGCCTGGCAATTGAAAAGGTGTTG